ATGGCATCAAGGCAGAGAGAATTTGAGGACTGAAGAAAAGAAGGTTACTGTTGGACGAGGTAGGAAGCTAAGTGATGAAGCTTCCTTCCTTTCTTCCTTCCTTACCTCCTTCTCTCCCTCCCTCTCTTCCTGCCTTCTTTTTGTTTCTTTCCTTCTTTGAGACAAGGTCTTATTATATGCAGGCCTTATTATATGAGTTGGCTTTGAACTCATTATTGACCCCTCCCCTGTCTCAACATCCCAAGTGCTGGGATAACAAGTGTGAGCCATCACATCGGTCTAAGATGGTAAAAGTTTATTACTGTGCTTGCCCTTTGCAGTCAAGTGTCAGGGGAGAGAGAACAGAATACCATGACTTTTTTTCCCCCTAAGGGAGTGGATGAGGATTCTTCAAGTAACATTCTCTTCTTTTTCAGAAACAAATCTATGCACATATGAAAACTGTGTTGTGAAACGAGAAAACTTACGGAAGCCAGGAACACTGCAGAACCAAGCGGATGAAGCCACTGACAAGGATCATTTATGATGCCTGTGGTGATGGGTGACCCTTGGCTGAGCATGTGCTTGGAGTCCAGCTCAGTGCCCCTGGGAGCCCCAGATGCATGCAGGGGGCCCTGGGCCCTGGCACTCCTTTGATTAGGAAAGCAGGTAGGCAATGGGAAGGTTTCAAGAAACCTGGAAGGGTGATATGTTAGACAAGGAAGCCAGGTGTGTGTGTGTGTGTGTGTGTGTGTGTGTGTGTGTGTGTGTAGTGGAGGATAGGAGAGGAGACAAAAGAGACAGAAGCACTGGAGATCTACAGAGTGAGGGAAGACAGAGGTAGGAGCTGCAGAGGCAGAGAAATAAGTAGAAACAGCAGGAGGGGAAGGAAGTGTAAGGAAGTGGAGAAGTGATGACAGGCCAGACCTTGAGACAACCAAAGCCAGAGTGGTGTTCCTCCAAGCAGAATATTCTGAAGGAACCAACTGTGGCAGAGGCATTGCTAACTACACACTACCCTAGCTCTGGATCTTTCCCGGTGTCTGCATTCTGGGTTTCCAGTTGAGTCAGCTTCTAGGTTGTTCACTGAGAGCCCGAAGGGGTTTTGTATTGCTGTGCAGTGATCAGCAGTGAGGGCTCAGAATGCAGTGGTAACAACGAGGACAAACTCCTGGACACTGGGACCCTGGAGGCAGATGGACAAGGAAGGTGAGGACTGTGCGTCCCGGGCCTCAGAGCTCCCCTCAGGATCTTACACCTCCTGTGTCCTGATTGACCACTCTTGGAGAGCATCGAGGAGCCCAGGTGCCCACTCTCTGCACTTTATCTTTATGATGCTTGTGAAGATGTGGAGAGTATAACAAGGTTCCAGACCTTAGCACAACTGACTCCATGATGGAAGTACCATTCAGGCTGCAAAACTCAGCACGTGGACAGCACCACCTGCCAAAATGAAAACAAAGACCTAACCCGCTGAAGTCCATTTTTCTGGGAAAGTCTCTAAGCTTGTTCTTTTGGCTTCTGTAGTTCTGCTTCTGGCTGTTATTGTTAACTGAAGTATGTCAACCAAAAACATGGTTTTTGTGCTTAAAGGCTCATCCTAAGAAAGGTCTTTTGGGGAAAGAAAGAAAGAAAGAAAGAAAGAAAGAAAGAAAGAAAGAAAGAAAGAAAG